GTAAGATGAATACACTTAAAAGTATGTGAAAAATAATAATTTTATTTAGACCAGAATATCTGATAAGTTATAACAAGGCAAGAAAGACTCAAAGATATACAGTTATCGGTAACAAGTATGGAATTTTACGAGGAATAGGAGGAGTGAACTATGTGATAAAAGTCATAAAATAAAACAAATAATTTTAATGGAATATTTTATTCCTCTTCAATAATAATTAAAATATCGTCTAGGAACTGTGCAGTGGGTACAATGTTACTAGTTGCTATCCCAAAATTCACACAGCGATCCATCGTTTCAGTAATATCCAATCCATAAGCCGGCGAAATAATCCAAATTAACAATTGCAAGTCAAACGTGCAGGCGATCGTCGGTGTCCAATCTGAAAGCGAGGGTCGTAAAACGTTAGGCGGGTTCAGAGTCCGTAAAAAACAAAGCAGTGGTCGTTGAAAATGTATAACTATAGGGAAAGCACTCGAAACGTATCAAAAAACACGAAACAAGACAGACTCAGATAACAATGCATCTGGCATGGTAATTGTTAAGACTTAAGTGTCATTTGTCAATGGCATGTTGCCAAAGACTATATACTGAATGATTTAGATCGATATGGAATCGATAATCGAAAAGAATGTTAAATATTATTATTATATTAATACACATTATTAAAAGTTATCTTTATTGAATTATAGACATATATGGTGTAATTTAAATGAAGTTACTATAAGTTTAAAACTAGGAGTTAAGTTTTTTTTTTTAGATAAACAATCGAATAATCATTTTTATTTAATTAATCGTTAATCGATTGCTTCATAAAAACAGTTATTTGCATATTTCTCCGCTTGGGGATTGAGAATTTATGCAGATTTTTGGTATTTCATACAAAAAAAAATTAAATCGATTTTGAACTCATAACATTTTGGGCAAACCAGTTTCCATCTCCTTTAATTATATTTGTTTAATTATTGTTTAAAACTTATTTAATATTTTTCTTTCTTGCGACGGACAAACTTCTTATTAAATTGTATATATCGAGGATGTGCAATGTCGCCGCTAGCCAGCTGAGCGGACACTGCGCCTCAGTTTTGCTAGACGGGGCTATCTCCCTTACCGAGCTGCGATATTATTTTATTCGCTAGCTAAAGGTAGCCGACTTGGCTATTTTTTTGAAATATTTAATTAACAAATCATTTTTATGCAGAAAAAAAAGATTATCAACATTCAACACTCAATTTCAATAAGTTTTATGTATATGGTATAGCATGGATTTTAAAACGTAAACTGTCTAGCAATATATACAATACTAGTTTTTGCCCGCGACTTCGTCTGCGTTAGTTTCAGAATTAGAAATGTATATCTGACTGAGTGAACTCTATTCCTCCTTAAAGATTTTTTCTCGGCGGCATCGTAACGTAATTAATCAAAGTGAAAAAATTTCTCGTTTACTTGAATGATTGACATATTAGTTAGTTGTCAAATCTAATGTCAAAAAAGCCGTTTGTATGGGAAATAGAAAAGGGCCGTTTTTAGGGTTTTCCCAGTAATGAATCAATTTTTTTCAGCTTTTATACCTTCCCTGAACCTTCACGAATATTTCAAGACTTAGATAAGATAAATCCATTCAGCTGTTCTCGAGTTTTAGCGAGACTAAGGAACAGCAATCCATTTTTATATATATAGAAGATGTATATAATTATACTCCAGCCAAATTTGATGTGGAATGTTCAATAACAAAGCGTTGCTTAGCAACCAACGTCAGGCAGATGCTCAAAATATTTTTAGAAATACATATTTAAAAAAAATATTTGAATTCTTATTTTATAGTACTTATTAAGATAATATTTTATAATACTTAATTATTTAATAATACTTTTTAAAACAAAATGCAATCAATAAAAAGAAAAAATCTTGATTCGACAAAAAATTATTCTGGTAACACTGCTACGCCGGGCACGTCACTCGTCACTCGTCAGTGACTGACGGTCAGTCCGCTTAGACTGTAGCTGTGTAACGCTTGTCGTTTATCGCTACGGCGACTCTCGCACGCGCACTTAAATTTTATCTCCTGTATTAATAGCTTGTAAGTAGTTTAAATTGTTAAATCTTGCTTAATTCGCTAAACACATAATACAATAAAATAATGATTCGTTGCTAAAATGAGGTATAGTTATAATATTTCTTAGTTAGTATACATTCTTATTAAGAAAAGAAGATAATAATAATAATTACTTAAAATAATGAATTCCAAAGATTTTTCCTTGCAAGGATACGCTTTTGTAGTCATATAATGGTTGTGTCCCTTTCTAATTTTATTGCATTACATTTGTTATCTTCTATAATATAATAAATTGTCTTTAGGCTAATCTACGAAATGGAAATCGCGGAGAAAGATCTTATACCTATTTCTTTTCAGTTTAATAATTAGCGATTGTTAATTGGATATAAGTTATAATACCATTTTTATTCACTTAAAGGATCGATGATATCCAGGACAACTCTTTAGTTCGTCGAGGAAAACCAACAGCACATTTGGTCTACGGTGTTCCCTTGACCATAAACTGTGCTGTTCAAGTAATGGCGGAGTCAATGAAAATAGACCTCGAATTAGTACCAGATGCTTCGGTCTGATTATAACTATTTATTAATGTAATTAATAATTAACAGAAGTAACTTAAAATAAAAATTGTAGAACGAAATCCTTTCATAAAGTGTAGTTGAAAACTGTAGAAAATTTTTATGATACAATAATGTAGACTACGTATAATAATTATGTGAATAATATATATTTTTACAGAAAGTCAAGGGATTCGCGGATCAATTATACGACATGTGGCAGGAACAAGGCACTGAGATTTATTGGGAGCAAAACTTCATTTGCCCCACTGAGGATCGATATAAAAAGATGACACGTATGAGTAATATATGTATAACTTATACATCTTTCAAACCTCTATGTTTTAACAAATCTGTCCTATATAAATAAATATCGTTACTATCAAATGAACAAATATCTCACTGATAATATTTTACATTAAACAGACTTTATAATTCCAACAAATTTAAATTTATCGTAACAGTTTTAGAGAAATTTAATTGAAATGTGAATGTTTTTTCAATTAACGATGATCATTATAATTTTTATTCAGCTTCGACATGACTATTGTAATCTTCGTGCGAAGGAGGTTGTTTTTGTGTTCCAATATAATTGATTTATATATATATCATTTTCAAAAAAAAAAAAAATCATACTAGCTTTCCCCCCGCAGCTTCGCTCGCGTGGAGTTCGGTTAAATCACGTTTATAAGAGAACCTTTCAAAAGTCTAGGATAAAAAGTATCCTATGTTCTTTCTCAAGGATAACTCTGTATCTGTAACAAATTTCATGAAAATCAGTTCAGTGGTTAAGGCGTGAAAGTTTAACAGACCGACAGACAGACAGAGTTACTTTCGCATTTATTATACATATTAGTAGGGATTCATTATGTGTATTACTATTCCAGTTAAACAGCAATGGCAGTTTCTGTGAAGATTTACCAGAAGGAAAGATCACGTTATCCATCATACATGCATCCAAAACATCAGTGGGAAGCGAAGTTTTACGTGAGTACACTAAAACTCAGTTACCTATTGTATACATACGAGAACGTATTTGTGTGGGTCAAACATAGTAGTTTTTACTGTAACCCTTCGATAAATACGGAATCATTATTCTTCATTATTGTATCAGGTTATTTCATAAACTTGATGAGTTACATATTAATTTAAAATTTAGAGTTTTGAGAACTTCGTGTGATTTTTTTACTCGTTTCATGAGATCAGGTCCGCCTACGAAGTTTCTTCCTTGATCCTCTGTTTCTAATACTTTATTGATGTTAATTTCTTGTCATCATTTTTGGTATTTAGTAAATAAGTATAAACATAACTAGATGGTAATTCAGTAATAGTAAAGTTTTTCGTGATCATATTTTTATTACTGTCAGGTACGACGGTCAGGTACGACAGCGTACCCGTGATATTAACCTGAAGAAATACTGTAAGTCTTTGTTGGAGAAACAGACTCAGAGTGAACTTGATCGAGAAGCTCGGGCTGAGGTGAATCAATTATTTTAACATAGTATTCATTGAAGTGTGATTGTTTTAAATTGAAGTATACAACCTAGGTTTCTTACAGGTCGCCCGTTTAGGCGGAAACCCACTACTGGAAAAATGTTTGACTGATCTCAGTAGCTGGAAGGATGACGTAATGATCAAATAATTATTACACTATTTTGTTCCACGGGACACTATTTTTTAAACAATTTATTCAAACATTTAACTTTTGTTAACAAAGTCCATCATTTTTAAATATGTATGTACTATTATATTAAGAATAGAGATAATGTTACCATTTTATATCATGAGTCTCAATATCCTAAGAAATTAATAAGTGAGTGTCTTATAACTTTAGAATCATAGTGAGTGATCACTTTTAGTCAAAATATATGAATTAGCTCTACGTTTTTCTTTTAATCGTTTATTTTATTTTTACCGTGTATGTGTTTAAATTTTATTCTAAGTTAGTCCTTTCAGTGTGATATGTAGGGGAGAACAGGGAAATGGGAGCCTACTAAGGGAAAGTTGTAATAAAAAGCACATTACTCAAAATTCTTGTATTTTTTTATTATAAACTCTTACCTTTATTATAAGAGAATACAATAATTATAGTTATAATCAACTACAGACATGTATTAGGGTACAATGACAGTTTTACAAAAAAAGTCAGTCGCTCCTATTACCCGACGAATGCGGCTAATGAGAGCCCATTTAACGATCATATGGGAAATGGGAGCCATTATAATTACTCTTAAAAAAAAATTAACAAAACGCACTATAAATGAGATCTTAGTTATTATAATTATTAATAAAATGAAACTATTTGTAACACAAATTAAAATGAAAACAAATTCAAACAAAACGGAGATAAAATATGAAATTATTAATGGAAAACAAATGATCCTGATTTACGGATCCAAACAAAATGCACAAATATAAGTATCTGGACTATCACTACCAGTACACTCTTTGTGGGCCCAGTTTCCGCAACTTCTGCATCGGTACCACATCTCTCCATTTTTTCCAAGATCTAAACAAATTGCACATAAATTCTCCTCTTCAGAATATTCTGACTCATCATCGCAGATAGCATTTTCGTCGATTTGGTCAAGAGATGAGTTTTCATCATCACTTTTAAACAAATATTTTGTTGCCTTTCTGATCCTTGTGTTTCTGGTTGTAGTCTTCTTGCTTTTAATCTCTTTATCTTTGGTATGTTTCTTCTTAATACATTTTCCTTTGGCACATTTTCCCTTGACACAATTTTCTTTATCACAGTTTCCTTTATTTTTCTTAATTGTCTTTATCTTATTCTCCTTTTCAGTTCTTTTTCTCTTCTTTTCTTCAAATACTGCTTTCATTGGAGTGCTTGTTATTATTTCAGAATGCTGTTTGTTCTTCAACGGTTTTTGTTTTTGAGAGATGAGTTGTTGGGGCAGTGGGCTGACAATGGAGACAACATTAGCAAAGTCAATATTGGGCGGAGTTGCGATAGGTCTGATAGTGTGTGATGATGTCGATGGAATAGAAACTGGAGTTACAGCAGCTTCCCTTTGAATAATTTCCGTTTCAATTTGCAGATCACAAAAAATAGATGGACTTGTTGCAGGGCTAGCATGTGGTTGCTCAGCCTGATTTGATGTTGCCTTTCTAATACTTAAGTCTGGATGACGCTGCAAAAATCCAGCCAGCCAATCTTTTCCTGCAGTTTGATTGTCTTGGTTAAATCGTTTCTCAATACCTAGTTGTTTAGCTACACTGTAACATACTTTGCGAAACTGTTCTCTTGTTAAACCATAAAATTTATTAGACATAGTCCGAAGATGGTTAGCCAGTATTTCTTCTTGGGCAACGTTAAATACAGTGGATCTTCCCAGCTTAGGAGAGTGTTTGTAGCTACTACCGCCAGCTTTCGCTAAATTGTACCTCTTCTTTAGAGTGCTGTAAGGAATACCTGTTTGTTGAGATACTTTGTACACCGAAATGCCTCCTCTTTTGAGGACAGATACTGCATTTTCTAATGAATCCACTGTCCAAGAAGCTGTTGTGGTTGTACGAGTCCTTTTACGTGGCATCTAAAACAAAAAAAAAACCAAGGCATTTCATTAATAACTACTACGGGGTAATGGTAGCTATGTCGGGTAATGAGAGCCTAGCTAGGCTACCATTAGCCGCCGACCACCATTTTGAAAAGTAATAATATATATATGTAATTCTATTCTCAATCGCAATCCAACTAATTAGACTTAATAGTAAATGAATCTAGGGATATAATAAGCATAAATACAATAAAATAAGAATATAATTTCATGCTTACCTTGATGCTGGCAATCGGCAATTTTTTGTAAGCGTGAAGCGAAGAACACTCAACCGTCTCTCGTGACTAAACGAATGGCACTAACGGTTCGAGCGCGTCAAGTGAAGTTTACCGAGTGTTGACGAAGGCAGCCGAGTGCTTACGATCGCGCAAACGTGCCTACATTCCGTTCAATCACCGTAGCTCTCATTGCCCGACCGCTCTCATTACCCCGTGTTCCCCTACTATTTGTTTTTTGTATAGTAGAAATTGTTATATATGTATTGAAATTGTTATGTATGTAATTGTACAATGAAGTTTACTTAGTGATGGTCAACCAAAATCGTATCTGACTAGGATCATAGGATAGAACAATATCCCGAAATAAATTTTTAAATCAAATTATAAAAATTTCGTTTAGAATCACATTTTGGAATTATTTTTTTTAAAACCTGTGCAATTTTTTGTTTAATGGAGCAAAACTTTTATTGAAATATGAATAATAAAAAAGTTTTCAACAACATTCTGTTTTAAAAAGTAACGAACAAATATCTGTGTAAAACATAACAACATTTATGTTTTTCAAATGGATATCAGTTACAACATGTTTATGAGAAAACATTTGCATTATTTGAAGTTGTTGTGGTTTGAAACACAAAATTGCGACTGATTATAATTTTCTATATGGATCTTAGCTAAAATATAAATTATTGAACATTTTTATAACAGTTCGAGAACGATGTAACTCATATTTTGGTAAACATATTTTACTTTGCTAAGTATGTAATGCAGACAAATTGATACACATAATGAAACAGTAACCGATAATCACAATAGATATTATCTGACATGTAAAAACAATACAATGAACCAATAAAAACAGTTTGACAGGTTTCATGTGCTATTTGTAAAGACTGAGATTGAAAGTCGCTGCCAAAAATATACCTTTACATACATTGCATCTTTTTTGGCATTCAAAATACAAAAGGTCAGAAACAATAACATTGTAGCTTGGGTCATCCTTGTGCAATGATATTTGCTACACACATAAACGTCGAATGTGTGGATAATCAAGAAATATTTTGTAGTAGCTATTTATGGTTGCTTTATTCGTCATTGCTGTCAATTGTCATATTTTTCCAGTTAATGAGTTTATATTATATCAATTTATAATTAAAATAATATTTTATAATTGTATATGTACTATAATTACAAAATTTTATAGTTCTATCAATGTATTGAGCTGTAGTCCATCTCCTCCGAATTCTTATAAGTCTGGTCACGTCCCCTGCACACTGACGCTGACAAGAGAAAAGTTTCAATTATTGTATAAAAGAAGAATGACATCGAAGGACAGATATTCTCTTTGAGCTCTTTTGACGTGTTTCTTATTGAATTAAATATTTCTGTGTTACTTTAAGCCAGTGGTGGCCTAGTGGTTAAGGGGCTCGTCTCTTGTTGCTGAGGGCGCGGGTTCAAACCTGGCAAGTACCAATGTGATTTTTCGGAGTCATATGTACTTTCTGAGAGTATTTAGACATCACTGACATACGGTGAAGGAAAACATCGTGAGGAAACCTGGACTTATAGTTTCACAATTATAAGTTTGAAATCACCAACCCGTCTTGAGCAAGCGTGGTGATTAATGCTCAAACCTTCTCCATGTGAGAAAGAGGCCTTTGCTCAGCGGTGGGCGTCTGATAGGCTGATGATGATGATGATGTGTTACTTTATTTTTACATAAATTTTTATAGTAACAAATTATATTACTTGTTGTTTTTCTTTATTTAAATGAGAACAAAAATTATGTTGTTAAATCTTTTAATTGATAAATTCTGTAAAATCCTGTAAGTCAGTTTAACTTCAATAATAAAAATAAAACTACTTAGAAGCTTTTAATGTTTCTTAAGTAAGCTTAAACATTAATCAGATTGAAATTGTAATAAAAATATTGTAACAAGAGTATAGTTACATGTATTCATTGACTATGTCTGCTAACGGAATTGCCATCAAAAACAAAAGTTGTGAATAAAAACATAGTCTCGCTACACAGTTCTTCTTGTTATTTGTGTGAAATAATTATTTATTAATTGTTTTTAAATTTAATACACTAAAATAAACAAAAAGTATGTCGCGAGTTTATAGGTGTATAGTAACATAAATCGACAGTCTGCAGTTTCTTCGGTTTAAAAACTATTTGGAATCTCAATTTACATAATACATTTATCAATACTGAAAGGGTCAAACTAGAAAGCCAAGTGCAAACTTAAACACAACGCTAAGTCTGTGGAGTTAAAATATCACTTACCCATTTAGTACTCTCTCATCGCGTTTTAATAACAAAAAAGAAAATAACCTTTGGAAAATATTTACCGATTTGAATTTAAAAAACTTAAATTGAATATTAATTCTGTTTAAGATTAAGAACTTTATATAAATACTAGAAGACCCGGCGAACTTCGTTTCGCCCTATAATCAAGAAATATCTGTTACGTTTTTTTATTTATATTTTTGGAGTTTACCTATTAAAGCCATAAATCTCCGTGTTTTGAAGTGATTAGGAATGATTAATAGTTAATATGAGAGTTACACTGAGCTAGCAAAATAATAATTGTCAACGTTACTACTACACTTGATGCACAAACAATAACGATGGCCGACAACTGTGTAGGGAGTGAGAGAAGTCTAATTGTGTGAGAGAAACAGAAGACCGGCTTCGTTCTCATCCCTACTCCGTGCTGTTTACTGGGTCAGAAGTGACACCTGTAGATATCTGGCGGGGATAACTTATTAAATGACGATTGATCAGTTATCGACCGGAGATGAAAAATGATTAAATTACTAAAATAGCTATTAAAAAATAAGGGTTGATCGTAGAAGGGTGAAACTTTAGGATTGTATGTATTTTTGTACGTTGTATCATAAAAAAATAGTAATTAAAAATTTTGTCTAAAAAATAAAAAATAAAAATTTAGGGGTGGACTAACCCTAACATTTAGGGGGATGAAAAATAGATGTTGGCCGATTCTCATAGCTACCGAATAAGCACAAAAAATTTCATCAAAATCGGTCAGGTTGTTTCGGAGGAGTATGGGCACGAAAACTGTGACACGAGAATTTTATATATTAGATGGTATTAACAAACAAGACCCCATAACAAACCTTCTTAAATAACTCCTAACCAAATATATATTAATTTAAATAAATAACAAATTCATTAATATATTTTACATATTTGTTATTAATTAGTCAGTACATTCATTAATTATATATTATAATTAATTATTTTGATAATAGAGTTAGTAAAAAGTTATTTTAAACATATTGGTTTACTTTTAATACTTTTATTATTTATTACAAATTAAATCATTCAGTGAAAGTCATGTCGTAAGTAATAATTCGTCTTCGTCTTCGTTAAAGTCATGCAATTCAAAGTGTCATGAAAATAAATACTTAGGTCTAGATACGGTACACCTGACCGATTACTATCTAAATTGTCATTTTCTTTGAGTTATTCGAAAAATTATTACTTATGCCAATTCAATGGATGAATAAGTGTTTCCAACAACTTTAACTTATCGTAATTTCTTAAGACGCGTGATTTAAATATTTTAAAAAACTAATAGTTCACTTTATAAAAGATTGTGTTACGAGAAGAATTATTAATATGATAAATACATATGCATTATAATGTGTCTCTTGTAATTGCTGTCACATATAATTTCCTTAAAGAAATTTAAACAATATTTTTGTTTATAATTAAAAAAAAATCTACTAACACAAATGATTACATTTGGTGAGTTTCATCCATCCTCTGTGTATAAAAATAATTAAAGGTAATATAAAAGTGTTCATTGATATTACGTACTGCTACTTTATTTAACTTTACAAGAACAGGGCAATAGAATAGAGAGAGTGCAATTAGTTTGTTCACGAGTCACACCTGTTATATGTTACAGACGACAAAGTATTGAACAATTTGAAACCCTGCACACGGCAACAATAGACTGCACTCCATAAATAAAAATATTTCTCTGCACTTAGTACATTTATATGAAGCAACGTAAGATTAGTTCATATAACCGATTCTATTGAGAGCATTTCTGCTTTAAGTATATATATGTATGTAAATATACGTACATACTTTATATCCCGGATACACTTAGTACTTTAATATGAACTTAAGTTATGGTTTTAGATACGTCTTTGTCTGTGTTAATACATTATGCTCGAACATTATTTCCAAATAGTTAACCTCACGTTCACTGTGTGGCGAACTGTGTTATTCGACGATAATTTTTTTTAATAAAAACTAAGTCGACTTCTAAATGCTTCTTGCATCTCATCTTATATTGGATGTCAAGTTAGCACTGGCATTTTTAAGTCAGTGATGGCCTAGTGGCCAAATGCTCGCCTCTTGTGCACGAGGGCGCGGGTTCGGTTCTGGCAAGTACCAATGTAATTTTTCCGAGTCATATGAATTTATTATGAGTATTTAGACACCGCTGGCAGATGGTGAAGGAAAACATCATGAGGAAACCTGGACCTACAATTTCGCAACTATAAGTTTGAAATCACTAACCCGTCTTGAGCAAGCGTGGTGATTAATGCTCCAAACCTCTTCATGTGAGAAGAGGCCTTTGCTCAGCAGTGGGTTCTGATAGGTCGATGACGTTGATGACTGACAATTTATTTTATTATTTTATTAAATGTTAATATCACAGATATGTGGTGCATGTCCAGTTCAATTTCTCATAGATTTATTTTAAGATATAGATC